AAACTCTCGGATTGTATTTAATATACTATTATTATTATTCGTTGCACTTATAATGAAATGTAATATATAAATACAACAAACCTTTACAAATTGCTTCAAGGAATCTAGTTGTAAGGCTGAAAACTTGATACCCTCCATTATGTTGCTTCTTTTTTTAGGCTTTGAAAATCATTCTCTTCATACAACAAACAACTGATGTTCTTATAAATAATACAAAATGATAACTAGATTAAAGTACATCAAACTACTCCCTACACTAGAATAATTCGGCTCCTAACTTGTAATCTCGATATCTCAGGAGAGTCAATTAGAATCACAATAATATCTTCAACTAATTATTAGATTCAAAATATTCAAAAAAAAGCCGTTATACTAAAAGAACTATTTCATCATCATGAGTGATAGTAATAATCATCATCGTAGTAGTGAAAAGAGATCATACCATCATGATGGTGGATATAATAATTATGGAAATTCAAGAAGTGGATCATCATCATATAGGAGACGAAATTACAAGAAACAAAAATATCAAAACTACTCCGATTCTTCTTCTTACACAAATAATAGTACAAATTCATCATCTAATGATGATAATAATGGATCATCTAATAATAATACTACTACATCATCATCATCATATTCAACAGGAGGAGGAAACTATTATAATAATGAAAATTATATTTCAAAATATCCATTTGCCATACGGAATGTAACAGATTATATTAATCAACTATCTTCAAATACATCATCATCATCAGATAATTTAAATACCACCAATGATAATAATAATAATAATACTACCACCTCCTCTTCCACCAATAATAATAATTTAGATAATAATTTAAATAATAATTTAAATAATAATAATTTAGATAATAATAATTTAGATAATAATTTAAATAATTCAAGTCAAAATGTAATTAGAAATTATTTTTCCAATTCTAAGAAGTATCGTAAAATTCCCAAAGGTTGGCCACAAGTAACACCCTTATTTGGAGAATTAATACCCAATACTAAATTTATTCCACTTAAATGTCCATTAAGTCCACAATATTTTAAATATCCAAATAATTCATCCATTTCATTAATACAAGAACATTTTAATACCAAATATGAACAAGATATTGGATTAATAATTGATTTATGTTGTGTTGAATTTTATAAAAAGAATGATTTACCTTTAAATATGAAATATTTATCATATTATATGAATATTCATGATTTAAATAAGAATTTAAATGTAAAATTATTTACAGAACAAATGGATACAATTGTAAATGATATTGATTTATATATTTCTAATAATCCTACTAAATATATTTTAATTCATTGTACACATGGTTTAAATAGAACTGGTTTTGTAATTTGTTATTATTTATTAAAAAAGAAAATTATTGAAAATGTTGAAAAAGCAATTGAAATATTTAAAATTCATAGAATGACACGTACTGGTTTATATAATCCTTTTTTTATTGATTTACTTTTTGAAATGTTTGATCAAACTAATTCTGAAATGTATCAATTAATGAAATATCCAGATCCAATTCAACATTCACGTAAATCTATTAGAAAGGAATTAAAATTTTATAAACCATGGTTAAAAAGAAATAATCATTTAGAATGTTTTAAACATTATCATATTTTAAAATCAATTAATTTATTAAATAAGAATGATAATAATGATGATAATAAGGATGATAATAACAATGATAATGATAATGAAGAAGAAATGAAGAAGAATATTTCAAAATCAGATAATGATGATTCAAGTACAAGATTATCAGATGATTTAGATTCACTTAACAGTGATAAGGAAGAAGAAGAAGATTTGGAAGAAATTGATGATGAGGAAATGACAAGAAAATAGAAATTTAAAGAGGAATAATCTCTATTGCAATTTCAAAAAAAAGAAACTCGGCACTTGTAAAAGAAAACAAAATAATTGAAAATTTTATAGAATTTCAACAACAGTTTTATCACAAACATTTAAAATGTTTTCTAATCTTGTTATTGTCAATATATTTAAATTAAATGGTTAAATATTTAAATTTGTTGGAAGTATATATCTCCACTGATCCTTCTTCACCTGTTCCTGCTGT